AGGGTCTCACTCTTGCTCAGGCTGGTCTTAAACTCTTGACCTTGAGCGATCCTCCCACCTCTGCCTCCCAGAGTGCTAGGATTATAGGTGTGAGCCACCACGCCCGGCCAGGTTAAAATATTTTTGAGTATTACAAGAGACTTTTAAGACAAATCATAGAAATGCTAAAGGTAAAGCAGTAGTTATATCATCATATATAAGAGAATGGAAGTGCAGATTTGATTATGTTTTCAAAATTTAAAGTTAATAGTGAGAATCACCCAAATAATTATACATCTGAGGGGAAAATGAAAATAGATTCCCTATCTCTTTCTATATGCTAAAATCAATTCAAGATGGATTAAGGACTTAAGTTTGAGGATAAAATATAGGTAATTTATCTTTCTTACCATGTTCCACAGGACACTATTATTATTCCAAAGATCTTTGTGAGGTGAGTTTATTTGACCACAAAGTATTTAAGTTGACTGAAGAGAGTTATGAGTTCTTTCTAGGTGATGGTGAGGATCCCCGATTTAGGTTGAGTGTTGCTTTTTATTCTTCCGGCAATAAATTGGATTTCACTAAACTATTCTACAACACATAAACTGTGCCTTTTAGACGGTTACCAGTATTTAACTTCCCTGAGTGTTTACTGGCAGTTTTACTTATCTTCCGTAAACATTCTCATGCAGAGGTTTTCCAGGTGAAGTATCGCTTCTCAGTGCCCTAAGTTTAATCAACTATCAAGTATATAATGTTAATGATTATCTCATGTTGTTTATGAATTTTAATCTAACAGTAGTTCACTTGAGCAGGCATTCTTCATTTCTATTGTATATTTTTAGCATTGCACAGCTGTGGTACAGCACCATGTCCTCAGATTACAAAGGAGTATTGTTTATAGTATGTTAAGTACATCTTAAAAATAGATGAGAAAAGACAACCCAAGAAAAGATAAGACATAATCAGGAATTTTTACAGATGAGGAAACATAAATTGCATAATAAGTATATGAAAAGATGGTATTAATTAGGGAAAGGCAAATTAAGACAGATATAATTCTGTATCCGAGTAGATTGCTAAAAATCAAATCTGGCAATACCAGAGTTTCAAGAGGATGTGGATTAGTGGTAACTCTTGCACGCTGCCTGTATGGATGTATTAATAACTTGGTAAAACTGCTTCAGAAAATTTGGTTGTCCTGAAAAGTTGAACTTGTATACCTTATCACCACTCAACAAACACACTCAAGAAATGCTTACACATAAGTATCTTGAGCCAAAAAGGTTCAAAACAGCAATCAATGTTAATGTAAGAACGGCAACAAAAACTAAAAATTACCCAAAGATCCTTCATAGATGACTAGATAAACAAATTTTGGTATATTGACGCAATGGATTATTACACTGCCATGAAAATAAGTTGTTATACACAACCACGTGGGTGAATTTTGGACATATACGTGAAGAAAGAAACAAGTATTAGAAAACTGTGTAGTTTGCTCAAAAACAAAATTAAACAGTATATTTGTTACATACAATATTTTTAATGAAACTACAAAAAGTAATAGAATTATAAACTCAAAATTTAGGATACGTTATATCAGGATGGCGAAGGAGGGACATAGGTAAATGCAAGTTATTAGCATTCTACCTTTTTGGTTGAGTGTGAGTGGTTGAAAGATCTCCAGTATATTATACTTCATAATTAATACGTATTACATGTCTTTTGTATGCATCAAATGTAGAGAGTTTTCCCACAAATCTTAATTTTCAGGGCTTTTCACTAGTTTGATCTTTTTCCAAAGGCCTTTAGAAGGACCATAGCAATACTGTGTTCACATGATGGGATGTTTTTTTAAGATTTACTAGAAGTAAGATATTTTAACTATTGCCATTTAAGTCTGCTGTCTTTCTTCACTTTGATTTCTTTTTTTGTGTCACTTGGCAGTAGAGTGGCTTCAGGCATTTTTGTGATTGGGGATACACTCAGTATGGGTTTAGTGGGATGTATGTGTGGTTCACAACCGTTTCTGGGCATAGGTAATATTGCCTGTCAGCCTGATTGTGATGGGAATGTGGTCCTTGATGCCCGGTACCGGAAATACGTGAGTGGTAGAAAAACAAGTTTGAAATGTATGAAGCCAGAAGGTACTCAGGAAAAAAATCTGTAATTACCAGATGTATAAACTTGTAAGTATTGGATTTAGTTCTCATAGATTTCCAGTCAAAGTAGAACTTTTCTCTTGTGAGAAATAATAACACAACACATATTTATTTTCTTTTTTGATAGGAATTCTGCCTTTGAAATAAACAAAAGAATGTTAGTGTTTACAGGGCACAAAGCTGTAGCAGTATCAACAAGAAGTGTGTCTTTAGGTGAAGCTGCTTATTTTATGCATCCTGATTACCAAACTAAATATATATATATTATTCACTAAGCTAGAGGAAAGATTTGCTTTGTCCATTCTCTGATGGAAATAACACAAAAATTATATTCATCAAAAGGCGATCAAATAATATGCAGTCATAGAGGAAAAGTAGAATTTCTATAGGTATATATCAGTAGGCCCTTAATGGAAGTATTATGCTGTTTTTCTGGATTTTGTGATGTTTACACATGTTAGGTTTTAAAAACTTGTAATTTGTTGTAATTTTTTTTCTAATTTTAAATATTCACCTCAACCTTCAGGTCTCACAAAACCTAAACTGTACTTGATCAAATGATATATTGAATAAAAAGAATCTAGTAAAAGAAAACTTCGAGTAAGAAAATAGATAACGGTAAATGAAAATATAGATAACTGGTCTATCATGTGTGAACATAATTCACTTTGTTTGCTTATGTTAGGCCTTTGATTGGCTTGTAATCTGGCAGCATTCTTTTAAACCATTTACTCACAGTTCAGATCAAAGGTGATGTGAATACTAAGGAATAAACACTAACATATTTTTCTCTGCTGTGTAGTAGATTCCTCTTAAATTATGAGAAATGATTAAGAATGAACTATTCTTTAAGATAAATTTAAAAATTGGGTTGTTTCTTTGAACTGGCATCATGTCATGTATCTTAGTGCTTGTTTTATACTCATGACTATTGGAAATTACTCCTGTAGCACCATTTGTTTTGGAGATTTGAAAATTAGGAAAGCTTAAAAAGGTACCACTATGTGTAGTAAAGGGAATATTTTATTGAAAGTTTTGTTTTTATGAAGAAGTGCAATTTAATCATTTCAAGCATTTAAACTATGGCCTATTTGGATGATTATATCAAAAGTGAATGGTTATAGCGCTGAGGTGATATAATAAAAAGTGGTCAAATAATTATCAGGCTTAGTATGAAGTAGAGGCTTATTAGCAGTATAAAATTTGAATTTATGTAGTTTAGGTTTATAGAAAAAAATTGGAATTATTTGTATGTTTTCAGTGACATGAAAATGGATATAATTTCCAATGAAGTGATTATCTAAATCTGGAGAGATAGTGTCAACATTATTTTAATATTGTAAATAAACAACTTCCCTGGAGAATTGGATTTAAATATGATATCTTAAATTCCAGGATATGAAAGATGGCAAGTCCAGATAAAAGTAAACGGAAGATATTAAAAGCCAAAAAAACAATGCCTACAAGTTGCCGGAAGCAAGCAGAGATGCTTAATAAGTCAAAGAATGTTGAAGCACTGAAAATAACAGCGATTGGGAGTAATGTTCCATATAGTAATCAGAATTTAAGTACTGGTGTCATAACTAGCAAATGTAGACATTCTGAAAACATTGCTTCTTCATTGGACTCTAACAAAAATTCAGTATTCCTACAGAAAAATAAAATATTCCCTCAGAATTTAATAAAACCAGTAGAAGAAATTGTGAATTCAGAGACAAGATTGGACTATGTTGCTGAACAAGTTGTGTGTCCAAGCAAAATAATAGATTCTCCCAGCAAACTCTTTATACAAGAGGCAAAAGTTTCACAAAACACTTCTGAAAATCATTTTGAATATCAGGCAAATGTAACAAGATCCTTTTTTGAACATGAAGGGGCTTGTAATCTAAACTCCATTTGCTCTCAACCTAGTATATTGAGTGATATAATTCAAATGCTAAAGTCTACAGGAACCAATACCTTGGATGATAAGAGAATTGACAAGATGGCTTCTCATTTAGAAACAAATTCCAATTCAGAGTCACATGATAAAAGGCAAAATGACAATATTTTAAGTTCCTACTCAAATTTTATGCCTGATGAGAAAACACCCATCTTGGTGAATTCGATCAATTCCAACACCTGTGCTGCTGATGTTTTGAAAAATGAAGACTCTAGTAGAACCTGTCATTCCAGCATTTCAAATTGTGAAAGTACAGACTCAAAGGGGCAGTCATCACCTGATGGTGATAACAACAGTAAGTGTATACTTACGCGTATTTTGGACAAATTAAAATAGTCACTTTGGGGAGATTTTAAAGTTTCAAATATACAAATAGGTAACGTACATATAGACAGGAAAAAAGTAAATGACAACAGTATTTCAGAGTATCTTATTCCTGAACCATTTTTGGTGGGGAGGGGGAAAGGTATCCACCATATCAAAAGGGAAGTTAATCCTGACAAAGAAGGAATCAATCTTTCTGTTTACAGTACCAAAAAAAAAAAATCAAAAGGTGGCTTATAGTGATTGTTTGGTTCATTTTATCTACATCTCTTATTTTGAAGTTTTATTTATTGGATTAAGAAGGAGGCTAGTTAAAAGAGAATGGGTTTTTGTTTTTTTTAGAGACGAGGTCTTGCTGTGTTGCCCAAGCTGGAATGTAGTGGCGTGATCACAGCTCACTGCAGCCTCCAACAACTTCTAAACTCAGTGATTCTCACACCTTGGCCTCCCAAAGTGCTGGGATTACAGGTGTGAGCCACAGCACCTGGCCAAGAGAGTGGATCTTTAAAAATTATTGTTGAACCCATTTCTTTCCATAGGAGTCACCCGTAAATCACATGCTAAGTATAAGATGACAGATAACAATATATACGCCTATACATATTTGTGTGTGTGGAGAGAGAGAGAGATTAATGGAAATACACAGTGATTAAAAAATGAAGTTTGGGGTTATAACATCATTAATATAGTAAAAGTAAATTTCATTAGAAGTAGGGTATTTAAGTCAAAACTGATTTGATAGGATAAATTTTGTGTTCTTGTCTAGGCTACAGAGCAATCATTTAACAAGATGAATTTAAGATTGCTTAAAAATAATACGATCACCTCTTAAAATTATGTAAGTCTGCCTAAGTTAACTGTTTATAAAAAATAATGTACATCTACTTATATAACTATAAATAGAGGATTAATTGATATAATTTATTACATTTTTATTGGGGTATGTGTGTGTATTAAATAAGATTGAAGGAGGAGTGTATCTGAGACCACAACCCTACCTAAGATATTCATTATTTGTTAAAGGAATAGTTTTTGGGAATATTCATGTGCAGTTACATATTCTAAAAATGCTACCATTGTCACATTTTAGTTTTTCCATTTGCTTAGAGGTTCTCTAAATTAGAGAATTCCTCTTATCTTTAATCTTTCCATCTCCCCAAGGCCATTATCAAAAGAAGAGGATGTTTTCAGAAAACAAAGAAAATGTTAAGCGCATGAAAACAGAGCAAATTAATGAAAATATTTGTGTAGCTCTGGAAAGGCAAACAGCATTGCTGGAACAGGTAAAATATTGGGGCTTAAATATTTGCTTCAAAAACTTATTTTTGACTGGTAAAAAATGGTAAAAAGTAACTGCTGTCCACAACGACAAAATATTGATGCCTTTCCCTTGATGCAAAGCTGGTGCGTGAAAACCAAATTAGCAGAAAGATCAGGGAAAGATAATTATGTACGTTTCCAAAACATCTCTAGTTTCTTGAAAGTGATCTCATGCAGAGTAACCTAGGAAATCATATGAAGGTACAGTCCTGTTGTAGGAATGGACTTTCAGTGTTACACTGGAATATCTCTGTGAGTCAGACACTGCTTGACCTTTAGCTTCGCTAAACAATCTGAGTTCTTTTGCACTAGTCATGGAGCTCTGTGATCTGCAGCTATATCTGATTGTAGACCTCATCACAGTTGACCACTACTTCATAGACTCAGACAACCCAGCAGTCCATTGCGAAGTCCTGCATTTAAATTTACTTGCCCTAATTTCCAAACTTGACACAGATAATCGTGTAAAGCAAATCTGACATTTTGCTTTACAACATCACTAAGCACACTTCTTACTTTCATTTTGGCCTCATTTCATCTCATTGTACTATAGTCTTAATACATGTTTGATCAATTCTGAGTTAATGTGTAATGAGCTTCAGTTCTACTAGAATGGCTGTAATCAGGACCTGTTTTGATAATCATGTTTTACTATTTCGCTATCACTACAATGTCACCACTACCAAAAGTCAGTATGTGGTAGATAAATGTCTTTCAGCTGTAATGGACCAGAATTTCCCAGTGCAAACTATCCTGCACACTGTTTCAGAAACACAAACACTACTGTTTTCTAAAACAGACCATTACAATTACATGGTTATATATCCTATGAATGTGTTCACTTTATAAAAGGAAATCTTTTTGAAAGACTCATGCAGAACCAGCTTAAAAGATGAGTCAATAGTTTTTCACTTTCTATCTCTTGATTTTCTTCCAGGAAGACCAAAAGAGACATAATAAAAAAGTAAATGTTCTATTGCTGGCAGAGAGGGGGTAGTAGAATTATCAATCTAGCCTGAGGCCAAGTTATCCAAGAAAAACTTTAGGGATTCCATCTACATCTTGTTCCTAGTGATTAGTAGCTGCATTAGGAAACAAATTCTGATAATGGACATACTATCTCTAAATAGCTGGCTTTTCTTCACGTGTTACAGTTCACGTCCAAACAATTCTCTCTCTAAACCCCATTTGTATGTTCACCTTGTTTGAATCTCACTGAGGTAGGGCTCCCCATTCTGAAATTGTTCTTCCCTCCTGAGAGTCCTAGAGCTGTTATGTCTTACCTTTTGTGGTTTCATAGGATCTTGGCCTAGTTCATTCCAGTTAAATTACTGAAGTGGAAGGGTTTTTCCTCTAAAGTCCAAGTTATTCACTTTAGCCACCATCTTATAAAGTTGGGACAGATAGGGGAGATACGTAAGTTTGTACCTTCTCCAAATTATAGTCTAGTCTGTTTGCTGTCTGCAAATTGAAATCTGGACTTCCATCCAACTCCATTATGTTGGGCACATTACCACTGGAAAAAATTTATGACATATTTGACGGAGGTTATTGTGTTTTCCTTCTCTATAAGGAGCATTACCATTAAATGAGAAAAAGTGTTCACTCTAACCAAAAGGAATCACTCCTTGGTGGACACTTAGTCCAAAGTAATCAAGTTTAAGGATCTCACTCTATCTGCATCACCAGGAGTACCTATTTAAGTTGTGGTTTCTTGAGCTAATAGTCAAAGACTGTTGTTTTAGGCTACTGTTTTCTCAGACTTACCTGATGAGAATCATTTGTAGTGCCTGTTAATTATACAACTTTCCAAGCCCCTTTCCTGAAAATTCGTTTGATAGATCCAGGATGGGACCTAGGAATTTGTGATTTTAACAAGTATCCCATGTGATTCTTCCTCACCAGGGAAGTTTGAAGAACACTGTAGAAAACAGTGTCTCCATGTTTAAAACATTTAGATATGTTTTTCAAGATTCATGTGGGTATGAGCTTCACATATTGACCCTAGCCAGTGAACTGACAAGCATGTGATGATCCATAAAACCCACACATGGGTAATAGATAATGGCTGTAGGTAAAAAAGTATGTGTTTCTGACCATTTGTTTACGTAATAATATATTTTTAGCACTTGTTTGATCAAATATTTAAAAGGTGTAAAAGTAAAAACGACAATCATGTCTAATAACATTGTGAAACCATGGAAGAAATGTTAGCGAAGCAGTATGGAAGAGATCAAGTAGACAACATTGAAGAGGAGAACAACTGGAAACAAGAAGGAAAAACCTGGAGAATAATGAAATAAAATTAAAGAATATAACTAATCAGGTGCTATCAGTATAAAAGAGCTTAACATAGAAACTATGTGTTCCAATTTTGAGCACCATGAAGCAAGCTATTAAGGGAAAAAGATATAAATATTACTAATAAATACCTTAAATGTATCATGATGGATGTCATTATTAAGAGCAGCAGACCTACCCTGTTATGAAGTTGCTATGGGAGGATACACAATGAGAGGAAAACTACAGTGAATGTTTCTGAATGAATGACCCAGCAGAGCTGTTCATGTCAGTGGGCATTGAGATTAATTATTCTTCCTGAAAACGGGCCACTCTGTTTTCAAGAAAACAGCCAGATAATGAAACACATTCATTTTTTATGAGATAGCTACTATAGTCTGTGAGAATAGCATGCATTATGCCGGGTAGCATTAGTCGCTACGTAATTGTCCCTGGCATGTTTCAATTTTAGCAATAAGAAAGCCACCTTCTAAAAACATGCAACTAATGGTGATTATATTGCATGTTTATTTCCCCTCATATCAATTCAGTGTTTTTTTTTATTTTATGGAGCTCTTTCACACATTACCTTATTGTGTTCTTATAAAAATCCTTTGAGTATCACTTGTTCAACAAACATTTATTGTATTATCTACCCATTTGTGGACAAGGAAGATGAAGCCCAGAGATGATATAACTTCCCAAAGGTCATATAGCTTGTTAATGGTATGGTCAAGGCTCAAATTTGTATAATTTGTTCCGTATCTATTACAGACCAACCAACAATTTTCATTGAGCTCTGGTTTTTAGATAAGTGGAGTTCCTTTTTATGAAACAGTAACTTTTAGTTAAGGTTATTAAAAAAATATAAATGGGACATAGTCTTTAAGTTATTCCTATAATGTATATTATGGAAATCAGCTGGCACTGTAGGAACTAAAATTTGTACTACGAGAATAAATTTAATTTCTAGCGTGTCTGCATATTTAAATATTGAATGTGTTCTGTGAATTTAATATTCAAGTTTTATAAAACTTATTGGTATGGTAATATAAACATACAAATATAAATAAAGTATGTTTTATTGGTTATAGTAAATCTAGAAAAGAACAAAGCTACTTTTAATAAGTAGAAAAGAAAATGACTTTTAAATTTGAAACGTGGGGTGTTTTGGTTTTTATTTTAAAATTCTAGGTCAGACATTTGATTCGACAGGAGATCTGTAGTATAAATTACAAACTATTTGATAATAAACTGAAAGAATTGAAGGAACGCATTGGGAAGACACAGTGCAGGAATAAACATGAAGCAATAGCTGAAGAACTCTTCGTAAGTTTCTAATTTCATGTGATTTTATTTGAGTCCTTTTAAAAACTAGAATTTGGTGATATCTTTCATATTAGGAAAGGAGACCCCAATCTGATTCCTGGCCACAGGCCTAATGTATGACTATACCATGGACAATAGAATTTATTATATCTTAGCAATATTGGCTCTTGAGAAATACTTTTAGAAATATTAGGCATTCTGTGTCAATTAAAAGACTTAATCCATAGGCAATTTCTCTTCGTTCTAAATATATCCTTTATTAGAGCTTATGGAACCTGTTTTCAAGCTTTTTTGGACTTTTTTGTTTTGTTTTACCCTTCTAGGGATACTTGCTGATTGGCATTTCTACGAACATTAATTTTATTGTGGACTAATTAGAAGTTTGAGGTTTTTATCTTCCATTCTTGAATATCATACAAGCATAAAATGTGGTTTAAATATTTTGCTTATATAAGAATTTCTCATTTGAGTAAATGTCTAAGTCTCACAAACTACTTTGGCAGATAATTTTCCCTCCATTTCTATATGATATATTATTTAGTACTCTGGTTTTATGTTTATTTGTTTTTCTCTTTTCCTTCTAGGCAAAAATAGCAAAACTTCAAAGACGTATTAAAACAGTAATATTATCTCAAAGGAATTGTTTGGAACCAAACATGTTATCCAGTAATACAACCTGTGAGGTTGGTATAAACACACAGGAATTTTAATAACCTAGTCTAACATTATATGTAGTTGAATTATAAGAAACGAATATATTTCTAAGTTAGGACAGAGGCTTAAAGGACAGTAAGTGTATACTTAGAATGTTCCCACGAATCTATCTCTGGTGAAGACACCCTTAAGTAGTAAATGCCACTTGTATTTCTTTAGTTAAGGAAGTAGGGGATTAGTGATTGCCTAGACTGTCTCCCTGCCGCCTTCATTTTATCATGGAAAGTATTAAACATACAGCAAAGTTGAAAGAATTTTGTAGTGAATACCTATATACTCAGCACCTAGAGTCTGCCTTTAATATTTTATTATACTTTTGTCATTTATCTGTCAATCTGTTCGCTCCCCCAAGCCATCTTATATTTGGTACACTCAAAATACTAATGTGTTTTGTATCAAAGTACGTGTTGAGAATATTATGTGTATATTATAATGGTTTAGTATGCATTAAGTTTTATTTAGTATGTTTGTATTTTTGAACAAAATTTAAATGTAATCTCCAGTGTACATTCACTGAATTTCTTAATGTCTTTAGTAGGCTTTGGTATCAGATTTATACTAGCCCCAGTAAATGAATTGGGAAGCACTTTCTTTTCTGTTTTCTGAATGTTTGTGTGAGATTTTTATTACTTTTGTATATATTGGTAGAATCTACTTCAGAAAACTGTGCAAAGGAGCTTTCTTCGTAGACAGATTTTGACTTGAAATTTCAGGCTGGGAGCGGTGGCTCTTCTCTGTAATCCCAGCACTTTGGGAGGCTGAGGCAGGAGGATCCCTTGAGGCCAGGAGTTTGAGACCAGCCTGGACAATATAGTGATACCCTGTCACTACAAAAGATAAAAAATTAGCCAGGCATGTTGGTGTATACCTGTAGTCCTAGCTACTCAGGAGACTGAGCCAGGAGGATCATTTGAGCCTGGGAGTTGGAGGTTGCAGTGAGCTGTGATCACACCACTGAACTTCATTCTGGCTGACAGCAAGACCCTGTCTCAATAAAAAATAAAAAATTCAACTCTTTAATAGGTATAGGGCAATTTAAATTTTCTTTTTCATCTTGTATTAGTTTTGTACGTTATCTTTGCGAGGAATTTGTCCATTTTATCTAAATTATTGAATTTGTTAACATAAAGTAATTCATAAAATTCCCTTATGCTTTTATTGTTTATAATTCTATAGTGAGAAACTGTACTGCATTTCTGATATGGTTAATCTATGGGTTTTAAAAAAATTGATCTTGGTAAAGTTTTATTCTCTCATTTTGCCTCTTTTATATTTCTTTT